CACAAAAAAAACAAAAACAAATCCCGCCTCTTTCATCCATTGCTCGATAGAATCCGTCAACGCAAGTGTCAATCAGACATTTTAGGCCGGCCAGAGGCCCGCAGCAGCGACTGGGCGGCCCGCCTCCGGGCCCGTTTCGGGGGCTGTGGCTGCCGCTCTGGGCGGCCCAGCGCGCTCTAAACGACCCCATAAGACGGAATATGAGGCCGCCGCTGCGCGCCGCAGCAGGCGCCCAAAGGGCGGCGGCGGCCGCCCTGCTGCCAACCCGCCCTGCCTGCAGAGGCAGCTGCGCAGTGCCAGGACGACGACCCTGATTCCCAGCTGGGGCAGTCACACGGGGAGCAGTATGATGGGGAGGGTCTTGAGCATGACCAGGGTGAGGAGCAGGCGCGCATGGCGTGGCCGCAAGCAGCGGCTGACGGCGGCAGGCTGCCACCTTCGGCCCTCCGGGCATGGCTGCCAGCAGCGTTGCTGCTGCCGTACTGCGGCCGCGGGCTGAAGGCGAGGGCAGCAGGAAGTGAAATCCAGGTGCACAGGGTGCAGGGGTGTGTGTAATCTGCGTGAGCTGGCCCACCACCTCCTTGGTCTCCTCCGCTACTGCCGCCAATCCCCAAACTTCCTGTCACCTTCCGGGGGCCTAAATGCTATTGTTAGGGGTTTGACCACTCAAATCAGATGCACCGAATCAAATGCAATGCATGCGCTGCAATGCTGGGAGAGAACTAGGGGCATGCCAGGCCAGCCAGCGCCGCTAGCTGGCCAAAACCGCCTCGGCCATGGGTCTGGCGCTTGTTGGTGGACGGGGGATGATGTCGAGCTGGTTCTGCCGGCTGTGCTGCCTGTGGCGCCGCCATACGCCTGGCATCTTCACGGCTGCACCCAGGCGCGCCGCTTTGCCGATTGCGCTGCTGCTCTGCAGCCACCACCGCATCCAGTAGCCCCACCTCCTCGTACTTTCCTGCACATGGCAACCATGCAAGAACCCGGCCGGTGGAAGCGATAGCAAGAGCGACAGTACGCGAAGGCTGCTCCCTCTGCTCTGCGCTGGCAGCAGCAGCGCCATCAGCCTGCGGCGGAAGGGGCAGCATCACTCACCAGCAGCAGCGAGTGCCAGCTTTATCTGCCCCTCAGCGGCATGCTCGTGCCACGCTCGCTGCGCCGCTTTCGATCAGGGCTCGGCATGGCCAGCACATCCCTGCCCGCCAGGCCGCTGGCTGCTGCCCCCCATCCGCTGCATCCATGCGGCTGCCACAGCCACGCCAGCAACGGGACGCCCAACCACTAGGCTTCAACTGCAGCGCCGGACAGCAGCTCAGCAGCAACCTTGGCCCAGCTGCCGTGAGTTGCTGAACACCGGCGCCACTGCCACCGGCGCCGAATGGCAAGGGCATGGGAAGATCTGGGTCTTGGCCGGGCACAGCTGAAGGCTCCTAGTCGGGCTGCAGGTTGCTCTCCATGCTGGAGCTGCTGGCCTGGCGCTGCAGCACGCATGGCGAACTGGCCGCCTACGAGCCAGGCGCCTGCTGCTTCAGTAGGCCGGCTGTCGGCAGGGCGGGCGCTAGGTGCATGGCACTCAACACTTGCTTCCTCTGCTGGCGCCGTGATCTCTGTTTCCTGCGCCCTGACGCGCTGTGCATGCTGCTCTGCACACTCCCGGAGCTGCTGCGCGCGGGCCTGCCCCTCTGACTCTGGCAGCGCAGGCTGGGGCGGGCGCTGCAGCTCGCACGCCGCCTCCACCGCCTCCGCCACGGCCTGCTGCCCTTCGCCAGCATTCAGCCGCTACCGCCGTTGCTTGTCGGCTGTGCACCGCTTCCCCTGCTTCCCCTGCTGCTTCCCCTTGGCCATCACTGCTGCAGTAGTTGCTACAGCCGCACTGCCGCTGCTCCTGCCGCCGCCGCCAGGCGGCCAGCGCCAGCACCTTCAGCGACCCTGCGGCGACGTCAGTCAGCGATTTGGTGGATGCCATGGCTGGCGCAGGTGCCCAGGCGGGCCACAGTGAGCACAGGAGGCAAAGCTCGACACTGCACCATGCGGCGGACACGATGCTGGCGAGCCTGCTCGCGCATGCTCGCCACTGCCGCTTCCTAACCACTCCAGCCACTAAGGAGCGCAAAACTGTCGTGGCGATTCGGTGGGCCCAGGAGGCGGGGCGGGCACCTGCCGCTCACACCCAGACCCACGGCAGCCATGTTTTTGGCGCCCCTGCTGCGCCGCGGCCCTGGCTGCAATTCTTCAACTGACCTATACTGTGTTCTCCACAAATCTGTCGTGGCGTTTCGCCCCAACCGCCCGCCAGAGGGCGCACCAGCGCCCGCCGGGATGGCCGCCGCTGGCAGGTGTCGGGCGGGCGGCTCAGCGGGTGGGCGGGAGGCCTGAGTGTCTCAGACGACAGCTAACATGTGTGAGAAGTGGTGTGCGGGAGGAATGTACGAGATGTGCCCAATCCTGGGTACCAGGCCCCCTCCAGCCTGCTTTCTCCGGGACGGTGACCTGGGGTTCAGTCAGATAAAAGAATGGGCAGAAGGAGGAATGAGAAACAGCGGCGGCCGATCGCCACTTCGAGGAGCGCGGCACACGCATGACCATTTGCTTCTCGAACTCAATGGCAGCTCGAATCCAAAGCCCATTACGTATCAGAGGAAGAGGTGCGAGGGCAGGACAGGGCGGTACGACTGCCGCCTGGGAGTGCAAGCATCTCTCTATCCTGCTGGAGCTAAGAAATTCTCCCCTCATGCACCCAGTGGCCGCACGGGCAAGACAGCCGACACAGAAGATTGTTTTCGTGCCCGCGCAGCGTCAGGAGCATGCACACCTCTCCAGCGCCGACTTCGTGGGGTTGATTCGTCTGAACGACCGGCAGGCGGTGAGGCAAGGTGGCAGCGCGCATGCGGCTTTGAGCTGGGCCAGTACTGAGACCTGGGGGCTGGCAGCGGTGTACTTGGGTGGTTGCACCACCACCAGCAGCATTATGCTGCCCAGTGGGGTGCATGCCGGGAGGATCGGGGCGCTGGCTGGACTTGTTGGCCTTGCCTTTGTCCATTGCAGGCCCCTGCCCTCCAGGAGGGGGCCGCCATGACGCGGCGCGGCGGCCAGCAGGCCGGGCGGCACGGGCCGACGGGCCACAACGAGCTGTTCAAGGCGGAGGACCTCACGCTGCAGTGGCGGGAGATGCGCAAGGCGGTGAGCGGGCCTTCACTGACCGTGGGCTGGCCTGCGTCAGCTGACTGGGCTGGCAGGCAGAAGTGCGCAAGCACGATGTCAGCTGGGAGGGCACCTGCCCCCACAGCTGTCGGGCAGTGCCCGTGCCAGTGCGGGCACCCTCCGCCCCGAACCCCTTGCTTGCTCACCCCATCATTGGCCTGCAGGGCGCGGGGCTGCAGAACCTGGGCAACACCTGCTTCATGAACAGCGTGCTGCAGTTGCTGGTGCACACGCCTCCCCTCGCGGAGCTGCTGCTGTCTGGCGGGTTTGGACGCGTGCACAACGGCGCGGTGAACGGCTTCTACCCCATCCAGCTGGCGCGCGAGCTGGTCTCCCGCTCCCTGGCCCAAACCACCCGCAGCCCGCTGGCCCCCATGAAGTTCGCCAAGTCGCTTCGCCGCATCAGCAGGAGGTAGGTGCTGGGGGCTGGGTGGCGGGTGCGTGGCTGCTGCCTGCTCTGCGTCTGCGCGTTCAATCCTGCGCTTTTGGAGAGTGGGCGAGTGACGATCCAATTCTTGGTGAGCTGCATCGCCCCAGTCACTGGTGGCACCAGCGTATGACCATCCAACAATAGTCATAGTTACACAGACGCCCTTCCTCGACATTTACCCTCTGCCAATCTGCACCTGCTGCACGTGGGCCGCAGCTGTGCCGCCTCTCGTGTGCGCTTGCTGCGACAGGCTATGCACCCCATCAAGTCAGGCCATCGCACATTGTGTTCCACTCGGATCAGTTCCATCCGCCCCTGGCCCTGCAGCTTCCGGTTGGGCCGACAGGAAGACGCGCACGAGTTCCTGATAGCTCTCCTAGACGCCATGCACGAGGCCAGCATCGCAGGCATCACGCCCAAGCCGTCCCCCGAGCTGGCCCAGACCTCCTTCATCTACCGCATCTTTGGGGGGCGCATGCGCAGCCAGGTGTGGGCCTGGCGTGGCCAGCTGCATCCGCGGCTGCTGTGAGAGTGCTCCGTTGCGGCCCCTTTGCTGACCAGCACCCACACACCTTCGGCCTCCCTGCACACCCACCCTACCACCACTCACTCACGAGGAATTGCCCGCCCTCCTATCTGGTCGATATGGCAGGTCAAGTGCAGCGAGTGCGGGTACGAGTCCAACACCTATGACCCCTGCATCGACCTCAGCCTGGAGATCACACGTGCCTCCTCCGTCAAACGCGCGCTGGAACACTTCACCAAGGGTGCGCTTTGGGGCTGCGACTGGCCTGCATGAACAGCTTGCTGGCGTGCTGGCTGCTGGTGGGCCCTGCGCTGTGTTGGTGCACTCTGCCGTGCGGCAGCAAGCTGGATCCTTTGCCGCCGTCTGCAGGCGAGGTGCTGGATGGCGGCAATAAGTACAAATGCCCGCGACAGCAGAAGGCGGTGCGTGCGGTCAAGCGCATGACTGTGGATTCTGCCCCCAACGTGCTCATGATTCAGCTCAAGCGCTTCGAGTTCTCCTTCTCGGGCCACAAAATCAGCAAGAAGGTGGGGTGCCAAAGTGGGCAGGCGCAGAAGGGAGCACCTTTGGCTCTGCCTCCCCAACCTTCCTCGTTTCCTCTGTTCATTTCCTCCCCCACAGATCGACTTTGACCTGGAGCTAGACCTGGGGCCCTTCATGAGCGAGGCACCCCTTGTGCCTGCCCTGTATGACTTGTATGCCGTGCTGGTTCATAGCGGGCACAGCGTGCACAGCGGCCACTACTACGCCTATGTGCGTGCCCCGAACGGCATCTGGCACATCTGTGATGATACGCACGTGGCACAGGTCGGTGGGGCGGCAGCTGGTGCTGACAAGGGCTGGTTTGCTGTTCAATCTGGATAGATGGCGAGAAAGTGCTACTGGTCGGGGCGGGGGTGTGGAACTGCACCCACTCTTCCTTGTTCACATGGCCTGGCCTGCCCGCAGGTTGCCGAGCGGCAGGTGATGGCGCAGAAGGCGTACATCTTGTTCTACCTAAAGCGGCAGCCTTGCGCCAAACGGGCGCCGCTGTCAACCAGCAACAGGAGCGTGGCAATGGCAGCTGCGCCGTCGCCCTCTCCGACAGGCGGTTCCGCACCTGGAGCAGCGGCACCAGCAGCAGCGGCGACGCTGGCGCGCCGCCAGGATGTGCAGCAGCCTGTCCGGCTGGACGGGCAGCGTGGCAGCTCAGCAGCGACGCCAGCGTTGGCGCCAGGGATTGGCAGCAAGAAGCGCAAGCATTCAGAGGCTGCCACTGACAGTCTGCAGCAGCAGCAGCGCAACCGCCATGCCGTGCGCCTTTGTGCGGCAGAGGCCGATGAGCAGCAGCAGCTGAACGGACGCATTGGCAAAAGTCGAGAGCAGCAGCAGGATGGGCGCACGAGCAAGAAGCAGCGCCATGCCCTTCGGCAGCATGCGGCAGCACACAGCAGCAGCGACGCAGAGGTGCCCTTCGCCTCGCCTTTGCCAAGGTGAGTGGCAGCAGGGGCGGGTTGAGGTGGGTCCTGCACTTTTCTCACCATGTCCTGTGTGCACGAGAGGGGTGACGAAACGCACTGGGCACTGATTTTCACAGTGACTGACATGCATTCTATGGGGCCTCAGAAACCCCTCTACCGACCTCTCCTGCCGCAAGCGCCCATGCCGTGCAACACCCTGCATCTGCGACACGCCCGCATCCCCAATCCAATGGACTGCCATGGTCTCCATGCTGCAAGAGGCTGTGCCTATTCCAGCCGAGTTTGGAGCGCGCTCAACGGCTTGCTCCTCGCCGCAACGGTGGTGCAGGCTTCGCCCGCGAGTGGTGCCCTCTCCGCTGGCTGTGACAGCTGCTCTGGCGGTGAGCCGGCGCGGCGCACGGCTAGCCGAGGTTATCTCAATCAGCCAGCACCAAATGCTGCGCCCCAGGAGGTTGCTGCGGCAGAAGGGGCGGCTGAAGCGGTCGGCCGCGGCGGCAGCAGCGGCGGCAGCTGCCAGACGTGTCGAGCCGGCAGCATTCCCAGCAGAGGTGGTGCAACGGGAGGATAGGCCACGCGGTTCCGGCCCTGGCGGCAGCGCAGGCGCTTCTGTGGTGTCGGCACCAGACTGGCCCCCCGTTAAGCAGCAGGGCGCGACGGTGGGGGCAGCATCTGGTGCTGGAGTGGAGCAGCAGCAGCAGCAAGAGTATGGGCGCCGCCGCAAGCGTCGCCCGCCGCAGCATGAGGATGTTCAGCCGTCGGCAGCGCCACCGCGTGGTGCGAGCAGCGGCGGCCAGCAGGCAGATGACGTGCGTGCCTTTCTGCGTGGCAGCAGCGGCGGCACCCGTCTCAGGCTGGAGGCGTGGGACCATGCCGACATGGCAGACAAGCAGCTGCAGGCGAAGCTGTTGCGAAAGGTGTGCTATACGCCAACTTCAATGTAGGTGGGTGGGTGGGTGGGGGTGGCTGGCCCCAGGCGGGTGGATGGGTGGCGGAATGCCGGGT